CCTGCCGCCGGTGGGACAGCCGCGGCGCTTCTGGGCTGTCCGCTGCCCGCGTGCTCCCCGGCTTTGCTCCCCGTCTCCCTGGTCTGGGGAGACGGGGAGCAAAGCCGCGGAGCACACGGGCAGCGGACAGCCCAGACGCGCCGCGGCGGTCCCGCTGCCGGCGTCCTCAGAGGCTTTGCTTCCCGTCTCCCTGGTCTGCTGGTCTCCAGCAGACCAGGGAGATGGGCAGCAAACCCCGTTTGTAACTGCAGATCCGACATAAGTCGGATCCGTGTAACTTGGGGACTGCCTGTATTACACATTTTCCCCAAGATTATCACCTGAAGAAATACTGTCTATACGTGCTTTGTTACTACAGTTATAGTGGTGGTGGGAGTAGGGATGTGAACGGTGATGCTTATTGGTTCCAGTTAATCAGTGTGGTTGGAGCAGCTCCTGTCCACCGCAGGCAGAGGCCTGTTCCAGCCCCACAGTGCTGTGGCTGGGCCAGAGTGGGCAGGGGGGCTGCTCCATCCCAGCCAGGGTGGAGTGGCCTCTCCGCCCACCTCCCTTTTAATTGGTTAACTGGTTAAAACAGTAACATTTAACCAACTAAACATGAGTTTACATCTCTACCGGGGTTGGGGACTCATTCCAAGAGGAATACAAGTTAAACTAGATCGGAGAGCAGATCCAGGTCTTCATGCATGGGAGAGAAAAAGTGAAATAAAATAAGGTTATATGGGAACAAAAACGTGTGTTGGCATCAATGTATCAGTTACCCCAAGAGTATGTTATCAGAAGCAGATGCCAGAATAGAAAGGCACTTACTTTTGCACTGAAATATGGCTCTGGCAAGCAGTACCCATTCATGACATTGATCATATTCTCCAGGACATTGTGAAAGACCTGGTGTAGCTTTAGGCCAGCAATTGGCAACATCTGCCGAATGGGGAGGCTACCTGTATACAACTGAGCCTGCAATTGAATGTAAGGAGAAAAAAAGAACAGATGGGAATATAAAACTAGAGTGGAGAAGAAAAAAAGGCAAGGTAGAGCTCATTAAAATTAAACTGCCATTTATAAAAATACATCTGCACAACAACAGCAGAGCAGGAAACTGCTCCACATCCATCCATGCTTTAAATTATAATGCAATGAAGGTTGTTGCCAGAATGAATCAACGGGTAAGTCACCAAATAAGAGGCATTAGAGTAATTCCAGTCAGAATTCCTTATTCTGGTCATTTCCCATCAAGTCTTAATTATCAAAATTCAATTTTCTGCCCTAATCCTCCAAAGCATATATACTTAAAATACAGACTAACTAGGACCTACAGAATATTTATATAAAGGCCAGACTTTAAATTCCCAAAATTCTACATCATTGCTAAACATCAAGTGTGTTAAAACCCCGAGGGAACAAATGTATTAAGATAGAGGTACGTGAGAGAGTTTTATAAGTCAAGGATGACCTGATTAGTCATAAACTTCAGAGGGGTAGCCGAGTTAGTCTATAACTGGAAAAACTTAAACAACGAATAGTCTAATAGCACCTTAAAGATTAAATACTTTACAAGAGGCTGATAAGAACCATTAGTTTGCACTTGGAAAGGAAGATGACCAACACCAGATTCTACATGGACATCAACAACCATTAGCACTTTTATTGTTTGTTTGGTTAAGTCATTAAGATGAGGAAGATAATGTGGGAGCCATCTGATATCCCAGTTCATACCATGCAAAAGCTCATGACACCATATACATGTTTTGTTAGTCTTCAGGGTGTGACTAGACTATTTGTTGTTTTTTTAAACTTTTTTCTGATTAGTCATGTAAGTAAATAGTAATTAGCCTGGTTGTGTCCAGAAGCAATACTCACGGGGTGCACTTTGGTTGGGTCATCTAACTCGAGGCCAGCTATGACACAACCTGACTCTAACAATGCTCCTGGCCGTTTTATATAGTGTATATGGCCAGATTCCTCCACTGCCAGAGTCATGATCATTTTCATCACCTGTATGAGGATTGGTGGAACAGTCAGAGCGTAATAAATGAAAATCATCCATGAAAATCATCAAGAGCCAAAGACAGTCTTTCTTTTGCAAGTGTCACAAAAGTGACATGACTTCCTTTTGTAATATTGTAGAGATGCCTGAACATAAATCTGCATCTCTTTAACAAGCAAACAGATTTGGAAGCCATTTACCACTCAGGAACACACTCCATATTAACCTAGAGTTACCTCTATCTCCGCAAAACTGTGCCCCTTCAAGACATGGCTTCCATCCTCCACAGTGTACTTCAGCAGTTTCCCAGCAGATGGCGATCTCAGCACGGTCGGATCTTTCTCCTTTTCAAAGTCACAGGTTTTATTACCAATGGTGATTCGGTAGCTTAAAGGAGAGCAGGAGATCTGTTAATGCTCAGCCGATTTGCCGCCAGCTGCAGCAACTGCTGCTGTGTCTAGTCTCCAAGTTAAGAAGAAAGCTGCTGGGAGAATGGGTCAGAGCTCTAACCTACCAGTCAATTTCTTCTTTCATGTACGTGGTGTAACTGTTACCATCATAAGAAAGTAGCACCCCACCATCATTCAGCCTGTGCACGTCTATCTCGATGTGACTGTTATTCATTATAATGACATATGTTGTTGGAGACTGACGGGCAACCTGTTGGAAAATAGCAAAGGGAGAGGCTTTAAAAAGGAAACATTAAAATCTTCCTGGAGAACAGGCATGAGGCTTGTGTTGTAGGCTGCTGTGCCATCAGCCCTTCAAGATGACCCCAGAAGCAGAGTTGTATAGTGAGTGGGATCAGGATCTCATGTGATATCTGGATGCGACTTCCCCATGCTCATCCTTGTCATTTAGATCAGCGTTTCTCAACATTTAAGATAACAGGGACTGGCTTGCTGCCTTCCTAAACTGTGTCAGGTAGGGACTGGAGCCTATCCACACAGTGGTCGCTGAGAAAAATATTTAGATCAGAGTCGGAGGTTAGTGTTCAAATTGCTACTAGCCTGGTTCTACAGCTCAACCTAATTTCAACTGATCCTCCATTTTCCCAGGATGAGTTAACTCACTTTCTTATCTAAGGCGCTACTCACTGGGAGTATGAATGGGAAAAGCCAGTGCTTTATTAGACTACTTCCAGCAACAGTTCATAAGGAAACAGAAAAATTCTCCATACTATAAAAACAAATAGCAAAACTCATTTAAAAAGAGGACAGTGGAGATGTTTTTATTATCTTGCTGATAAATACCCACCCAGAAGGGCTTGTCTTCGTCCCAGTGAAAGGCACATGTAGCATCTGTCTATACTGGTGCAGTAATGACTACATGAGCCAAAGTCTCCACAAGCTTGGAAAAAACACAACATGCTGTTTACCTGGAGTACATACTTCACACCTTCATAAATGAGCTGCACCTCTACAATGTTCAG